ACTAGGAATTCTAATTAATATACTATAATTCACAGGAAGTGCACACAATAAAGAATTATACCCAAAATGTCAATAGTACCCAGGTTGAGAAAGCTTGATCTAGAAGGATGGAAAATCTAAATGTGGGAAGTAAAAGACTGAAAATTTTATTTCCCTTTCTGATTACTTAATGCACTCCTTTCAACTACTATTTTGGCTGGGGATGCAGCTCAGTGTTAGAGCATTTGAGTACCATGTTCAAGGCCCTGGGTTCAATCCCCAGCACTACCCTCCCCTCAAAAAAGATTCAACTACTATCTTGAACTGTTCAGGAATCTGCACCCAAAAAGAAAAGAGGAAAGTTCCCAAAAGTTAGGAAGGCCAAGATGAAGCCATTGCACGGAACATCTTCCATGGGTGAGGTGTCCTCCCTGTTTCCACAGGACTATCTGGTGCAGCTGAGTCTCTAGGCCTTCATATCAAGTGGAAACGCTACCCTGGCTGTGATGTGTAAAAGGGTGCCAGGCAAAAGCAGTCTTGCTCATCCAAGCCTCTGATGCTGTCTGGGGATTCACAGAAGCAGGAGGCGGCTGAGTGGAGGGAGAGAAGAGGAGAGATACCAATAAATGAAAGAATAATGGAACATTGATCAGCTCTTTATCACAGCAGGGGAGCTGCTTTGTTGAGCCCCAGTGCTGTCAGGCAGACCCTTGATTAAACCTGCACAGCTGCCTGGATGGATGGCCCTGTTTAGCTCTCATCAGCAACTCTGTCAGAAAGGAAGAGCCAGTACAGGAATTGCAAAGTGGACCCAGGACTGTCACTTGGATACTGGGAAGGTTGGTAACCTCTTCCCGCCACCAGACCTAGCTCCAAATTCCAGAGTTAGGAAAGAAAGATTATTTATTTATTTATCTATCTATTTATTTATAAGAGGGGTGGCTGGTTAGAGGACAGAGCAAGGGGAAGTAGGATTCACTGGGAAGTCTTCCTGTTTTCTCATCTGGAAGGGGGGAGGGGCACATTATTTCGGACAAGGCCATAGTTCCCGCTGCAGGACAGGAGGAACAACCTTAAAGTCTTCACCAAATTCCAAAGGGCTCAGTTCAGTGATGAAACCTCCCTGTTTCTTGGAGCTCTCCTGGATGGCTTTGTGAATTTTCTGCCTTACAAGTGAAACCACTTTTCTTAAAATGTGAGGGTCCTTGATGCTCCTCTGCTGGGGGCCAAGTGGAAAGCTGTCCAAGCCACAGTTCTCAGACCCAGAGCCCCTTGCTGCCAAGTGCAGATGTGAAAGGCTGTCCTCAGGGAAGGATTTTTATGAGCACAAATGAACATGAATACTAAAAGCATAATGAAAGCTTAGGCCTGGACAGAGCTGGCTGCTGAACCCACCAGCAAGTGATGATCTTGTGGACAAGGTCTGATTCTTACTTATGGTTGGGAGTCCCAGCACTTTACACTGTGCTGTGCACCCACACATCTTAGAGAAAAAGAATAGCCTTAGAGTCGTGCCATAAGGGGCTCGGTGCTGAGCAGGTGATGGGTATGTAGATGCAGAAGTGGAGGACATGGATATAACTGAGTTGTTCTACGACACAGAAATGAAAAGTAAATTAGTAGAGAACATGCTCATGGTGGTAGGGCAAGCGAGATGTAGGAGGCAGGAGGATAGAAGGAGCAGGAAATGGTAAGTGGTAGCTGTAATGTCCACAGGGTAGGTTCTCTGACAAGGGGCAAGTGACAAGAGCTCTGTAGTGGGTCTCCTTGTGCAAATTTCAGTAAACACGTGGCTGCTAGTGCTTAGTGAAGGGGGCTTCCGTCTAGGAATGCAAGTTTCCCCCTTACACATCTCAGCTGCACTGTGAGAGAACACTCCTTTCTTTACATCCTAGTATCTTATATTCCCTGACTCAAGTTCATAGCCTAATGGACCTCCAGATGCAAGGTCATGTCTACCAGTGGCCCAGATCCTCTTCATATTATTTTTATTTTTGTTCTTATTCCCTCCCAAATTTATCAACATATTATACCACCTTGAGAAGATACAGAGTTGAGGGGAGGCTAGAGGGAAAGAATCCCAAATATAGCCCTAAATCTGTGTCATGTTTACCTTTTAACAAAAACCTGTTTGGTATTCTGAAGAAATTTTGAGTTTAGTGTTTGACATAATTTAATAGAGTGCATTAATGACTGTCAATTTCCCTTGTAGTCAAGATACTAAGAAAATGAGAATTGTTTCATCTACCTCACACAAAACAGTAACTAGGGTGGGCCTCACAGTGAAGAACAAAAATTCGTGAGGGCCAACAGATACATGTGAGTGGCTTCGCACACATGCATGTGTCCTACACAATTTGGAAAGCTCTTTTGTATTTTCATGTTTCATAATAAAAACATTGCTACATGGTAGGTAATATTGTTTCCATTGTTCAGATACTTAAACTAAGGCCAGAGAGGTTCAGAAATGGCTTTGCCCAGAAGGGAAAAATCAGATTTTTAAACTCAGTATTTTAAAATATATTACAGTCATTAGTTATTTAATGATGTATAGGGAGATTTCTGAGAAATGCAGTGTCAGGTCATTCTGTCATTGTGTGAACATCGCAGAGGTTACTTACACAAATTAAGATGGCTACAACATCACTAGGTAAGAATCTTAGGGGACCGCCATTGTGATCCATGAATGACCAAATGTCATTATGCAGAGCCTAACTGTATTTTGGGTTGGGTGAAATCAGCAAGCCCAACAGATTTCCAAGACCCTCTCATTGCTGTTCCCAACACATCTCACCTCACAAAGCCTTTCTAGCTGGTTCTTTCTTTCTCTAAGCTCTGTTTGTCTCCCAAGGTCCTAGCTTTTACCATTCATGGAATAGAGTTTTAGAGTCTGTCCAGAGAGATGCCACATTTCCCAGTAGCTGTATCCAGGTGAAGCTGCACGATAAGATTTCACAAGTGGAATATGAGCAGAATGAAAGGATATCATGGAAGCAGGACCAGGTCTGTGGGAATGTGCATGCCTTCTCTGTGCTCACACTTCCCTTCCTTTGGGGGAATGCAGAGGAGTCTGAGATCAAAGAAGAAGGTAGAATCACAAGCCAGAAGAAGATGGAGTGGAGGAAGCTACATTCAGCCATTAGGTGGATGACACTTAAAGTTCTATTTTAATTCCCTGGATGTGAGGCTTTATTGTTTTTAAAGCATCAAGTAACCCTAACTAAAATAAGTAGTCTTATGTGTTGCTGTGAAATGTAGGAATAATTGACACCCATTGTCTTGGGTTTCCACCAAAACTGAAACAGGAATACCATTTTTATTTGTATATGTTTGCAGTACTTCATGTTTACATTCCTTGGGTGGAGTTGGTACACATACATAACACATCTTAATTTCTTTTTTCATCTTCATTCCCTCCTTTCTCTCCCTCCTGCCATCTCTCAGTCCACTTCCCACTTGAGAAAGATCTACCTTTTTACTTCCTATTGTCTGTCTTTTATTTTGCCCTTTATTTATAATTTGGGTTTCTCGCTTAAGAGAAAACCTGCAATATTTAAGATAATGTGTCTGATTTATTTCCCTTAACATTACAGTCTCAAACTGCATCTCCTTTCCTACAAATGACTCAAGTTTATCTTTCTTTATGTCACAGTAGTACTCCATTGTGTATGAATACCACATTTTCTGTGTCCACTCATGTGTTGATAGACATATAGGCTGCTTCCAAGATTTAGCTATTTTGAAAAACAAATCCTAATTTTGACATTTTTTCATTCATGAGTAGATCCTGCATGAAGAAAACGTGAATGAAATAATACTAATAATTTTATATAGAGAATAAAAATTACCTGTCACAGGATATTTTCTTCTATGTACTAGCTTATCCCAGCAAATGAAAACCATAGTGAAAATGTACATAGCTATGTTTGTCTTCTGAACTGCATGTGTGCATGTGTGTGTGTGTGTGTGTGTGTGTGTGTGTGTGTGTGTAGCTGCTGGTGGTGGTGGTGGGTGCCCCTGTTGCAATGTTCAGAACTCTGAAGTCTGGATTGTCCATTTACATAAGCTGAATATCCAGAGTTATTTTTCTTGTAGAAAAAGTATAAATTTTGTTATTATAAACTTCTTTAACACTCATGTTTGACTTTAATTACATATTGACAGAATTCACACTCTGAATTTGGACTTTTATACATAAAATGACAAGTATTAGAAGCTTTCATGGATTTAACACTGCCCACTTCCAAAGAATTTGACCCTATGAGCTATGATTTGTGTATTTACAAGTTTGTTGACATATTCTTTAAAAAATAAATAGAACAGAAAAATGAAGCTTGTAATAAGTATAAGTCCCATAAACTGTACATACGAGTTTATATCTCATATGGACTTTCAAATATGGTAGAAAAGAAAAGGACAAGACTCAATGAACTGTTTTAAGCATATTGTACCCACAAGGCATGAAGTACGTAGATATTTTATAGCAGTTTTTAATGTCTGGTAGCAGAACACATCCACCCAACTGCCACCAAAACCAAAACTATGATATTATATTTTCCAGATTTTTTGCATGTTTTAAGAACATTACATAAAACAAGTAGATATTTCTTTTGTTTTGTTTTGTTTTGTTTTGTTTTGTTGGTACTGGGGATTGAACTCAGGACCTTGTGCTTGCAAAGCAGGCAATGGAACCACTGAGCTAGATCCCTGGCAACAAGTAGATATTTCTAATGTGCTTCATTCTATACTGTGGTCTCATAAGGACTAAATGACAAATGTGTGGCCCAGTTTGGATAATAATATTGGCCCTGGGGCCAGAATGCACTTTATTCTCTCCTCCATGCTCTTTCCTTTAACTAGTGTTACACCAGAACTCTAATAAACATTTTTGGGGCCTAGATTTTTTTCACAAATGAGAAAATCAAGGTCCAAAGGCCAGACCATTTATTCTCAAAATGCCAGTAAATGCCAGAGCCATAGTAAGAATACCCAGGTTTTTAATCACTGTATTTTTCTTTCAGGAACAATGCAATATGTGGCATGGAACAGACAGAGCACATTGAGAAGAAATACATTTAAGAAGACACTAAATAATTTCTTCATAGAAATTCAAGAATATATGATGTCCATATTTATGTATCTATATCTATCCATCTATCTATCTAAATAACTACATATGTATGGCTGCTACGGCTACTATGTAAAAGAAATAATATGAAGAAAAGAAAAACATCATTAAAAGTTTTTAAAAATGTAATTTAAAACATTGGAAGGTCCCAAAGTACAGAGCAAAAAGCAAAGAGAGGGGAAAAATAGAAAGCTTAGGGAGCTTTGAGAATCAACTCATCGGAAGACAACAAATATCTAATATATGTCCTAAAACACAGAGAAATAGAAGTTACAAAGGCTCTTCAAAAAGAAGACTGTTTGCTAGAACTGAAGAATATCTGGGTTTCTCAGATTTAAAGTGTTGACTGGTTTCTTGGTAACTTGAATAAATGATAGCCTACACATAAATTTAACCCCATGGAATTTCAAAAAACCAAGTGTCAAGAGAAGCTTATTATTCCAGAACCGAATAACAAAAATTCAGACTAGCACATAAATCTTTCATTGGCACTAGAAGACATAAAATGGCAGGGACATAATTCCTTGTGTGCTCTGAAGAAAATTACTTGGATTTCACATGTTTCCAAGCCCTCCCTGTCCTTTCCACATTGTTCCAGGATTCTGGAATACCTTGCCTTGCAGCTTTTAGTTGGGTTTTAATATCAATGGCTACCATCAGGAGACTGAAGAGGCAAAGGATAACAAAGTAAAAATATTTGCCCTTTGCCAGATTATTGTGGCCCTGAAAGTTATTGGCTACATTGTTTTGGACCATAGCTTGAGATCCCATTCTTGTTTGGATTTTATTTACAGCTAATGATTAAGAAAACAAGAAGAAAAAGAAAAAAATCTCATCTCGCTTGCTTCTCATATAACTTCTTCACATAGTCCCCAACACATCTCCAGGTCTACTACTGTGTAACTTCCTGCCTAATAAGGGTAGCTTTGGAGAGCAGTGCCTGAAGTATGGCTGTGAGGTATGATCCAAAGAAGCCAGGAGCAGGTGATTTTCTGTTTTTATAGAAGGGACTAAAGTCCAGGGTATCTCTTTACATACTTTGAAGAGAATAGTAATCACAACAGCTTAACATCCTCCTATCCTAACTGCAGACACTATTCAAAGGCTTTTCCTCCAACCTCCACACTCTTTGTACCAGTGATATTAGTTCTGGGCAATTCTAAAATAATTAAATATCACAGTGTCATTCCCTCCAGATTTTGGATAGCAGGTTTGAACATAACTAACTTGCTTTTCCTTCTTTGTATAATGGAGGAGACCAGACTACGACATCTCAAAATCTGCCCTTTTGGCATAAAAAATTATTTTGAGCTTATTTATGTTAAGAAACAGCAAACACAGGAGAAACTTTGAAAGCAGAGAAGTTACTCTTGTACAAGGAAAATTTACATCTATAAAGGAAATCTCCACTTATAAGTGTCTCTCTTTCTCTCTAAACCAGGAAAAAGAGGAAGACTAAATCACAACAGACTGAAGAAAGTACTGGCTGAATCTGAATAATGAATCTTACTTTTGTTTCCTGGACTTTTCCTAGTCACATCCCATGAATAACTTCTCTCCCATCCTTCTTTCTTTCTTTCTTCCAGTTTTACAAGACACTTAAATATGAATTCTAAGTCATTTCTTTATGATTTATTTATTTTGTCCTTAATGTCTACTCTGTCTACATGAAGTATGCATGTCTATAATCTTGATTATTTTTCTCTTATTCATTTTTGTCTACTGTTATAGTTGAGATCTAAAATATCCCTCCTAAGTCTCATGTGTTTGGGAGGAGATTGGATCGTGGGGGTGCTATACTTATCCACTGATAAGTTCAGAAGCTGAATATACTGCTAGGAGACAGGGTCTGGTTGGAGATAGATCACTGGAGCCTTGATCTGAAAGGGTGTATTCTTGTCCACAGCTCTTCCCTTTTCTCTCCACTTTCTGTCTGCATGGGTTGAATAGCTTTCCTCTGCCATGGCCCTCTGCCATGCTATTTCTGCCTTGGAGCCAGCTGACCATGGACTGTATCCTCAGGATCCAAAATACACTTCTCCTCCTTCAAATTCTGAGTGTCATGTGTTTTTTCCCAGTAATAGAAAAGTGACTAATACATCTAGGGTCCCAGCCAAGAACTCAAAAGGATACGGATAATTACTTTTTACTCTCCTACAATAATCAATTTTATGTTGATAAGTACTCAAATGCATTGCCATGTATCTCATCTCTGTGGAAATTTAAATAAAATAAATTTAAAACTAGTGCCTAGCATGCTTTATTAGCATGCATACAACCCTAATTTTGATCTCCCACAGCAAAAATATAACTGAATTATACAATCAATGCACCCAACCATTAATGGAAAATTAGAATGTAATAAAAGAAACCCCTCAAATTAGTGAGGAAAGATGAAATTATTTAAAAGTAGTATTAGGGAAATGATATAGAAATATTCAAAAAGATAAAATTCATCCATTTATCACACTTCATACCAGAAAATTCCAATAGATTAGATATGTACATGAAACAACAATAAAAAATTGAACAAAAGAATCTGAAAAATTTGAATGAGTTTCTTGGAATAGGGAAAATTTTCCCTAACAATATAAAATCTAAAAGCATAAAAGAAAGGTTTAACATTTAAATTAACAAAACGTTTTAAATGTTTGTATGATAGAATTGGAACCGAGGTCAAACTTTGAACTAAAGGAGGTTAGAAGGGCTCCAAAGAGGCCTCAGAAACAAAGTTCGTCTGACCTTTTTCCCTCCTGTTTCCCACTCCTGCTTCTTGATCCTCATCCTACTGTTCTGGACAAGGGAACCACACAAACCAGATTTCTTCCAAGGTCATAGAAAGTAAACCCTTTCTCTCTCAAAGCAAGCCATAAAACCTAGAAAAGTCATTCCTCTTACCCTTTTCCCCTTCCCCTTTAACCCTCATTCCATAGGGATTCTGTCTCATAACCAGAAGGATGACAGGCTGTATTAGTCACTTTTCCACTGCTGGGATAATATTCCCGAAACCAGAAACTTAAAGGAGGAGTGATTTATCATGGCCCACAGGTTTAGAGGTCTTAGCCTATGCTTAACTGGATCCAAAGCAGAAATGGCCAGGTGAATGGGCATGATGGCAGGAAGCTGCTCTACCTATGGCACCCAGAAAGCAAGGAGAGAAGGGAAGAGCTAGAAGTAAGAAGACAGCCTTCTAGGTCAGCCTCTGGTGACTACTTCTTTCAACCAAGCCCCATTTCTGAACACTAGAGATTTTTGGAGGGACACTGTAGATCTGAACTATAACAGAGACCAAAAAGAGTTGAAACAGGTAGATCTTGTTGGGACCTCCCTCAGACTATTATCATTAAATCATATCCTAATCACATTTCTACATGGCTGTTCATTCTTCATGGAATATAAGTGTATAAATAGTTTCCATGGGTCTTTACAGCTTCATTTCTGACCTATCACATAAAACTGATAAAATAAATTTAGTATATTTTTCTCTTAAAACTTGTTTGTTGTTATTGTGATATCAGCAATTCCCTTTATAAAGGATGAAAAAGAGCATCACAACTTTCTTTCTCTACAATAGAAAAATAAAAATCCTAAGCAAATAATCAAATGACAAAACATTGTGAAATATTTTGCAAGTTACATGCCAAAGTGGGTTAACATACTTAATACATAGTAATTTTTTAAATTGGAGAAGGGAGTCAATTACCCTTAACTGTACTAGAAATCTGGGCACATTCTACCACAAAAATGTAAATATCTCTTAAAAACATGAAAAATTTAACCTCACATAATTTTAAAATGCAAATTAAAGTGCACTCAGTTTTCTCATTTGTCGAACAAAAAAGCATGCAATTTTGACAATATATTCTGTTTGTGGTACTATGAGAAATAGATATTCTGATAAATTGAATTGTGCAAGGGCTGTGTGGTATGACCCAATGAAAGGAATTTGGCAATCTACAACAAAATCATTTATCCTTCAAATAACCATCCTACATCTAAAGATCTAACTCAAAGATGCAGTGATAAAAACGTGAAAATCCATGTTCAATGCAATTCATAGAAGTATATTTTGGCTCCTGAGGATTCAGTCCATGGTCAGCTGGCTCCAAGGCAGAAATAGCATGGCAGAGGGCCATGGCAGAAGAAAGATGTCCAGCCCATGCAGGCAGAAAGTAGAGCGAGAAGGGAGGAGCTATGGACAAGAATACACCCTTTCAGATCAAGGCTCCAGTGACCTATCTCCAACTATTTGTGATAGTGAAATTCTAAAGGTGCCCTAGTAGTAGGAATTTGTTGAGTAGACCAGGGATACATAATCCTGGCTAGTCCATATAGGAACTAGGCCACACAGGAATTGTTAGCAAATAGGCCACACAGAACAAGGTAATAGGTGAACAAGTAAAGCTTCATCTGTATTTACAGTTGTCCCCCCTCACCTGACCCCTTGAGCTCTACCTCCTGTCAGATGAGCAGTGTCATTAAATTCTCATAGGAGCAAGATCCCTACTGTAAATTGTACATTCCAGGTATCTAGGTTGCACACATCTTATTAGAATCTACTGCTTGATGATTTAAGGTTGAGTGAGGCAGTGGTGCTAGTGCTGGAGACCAGCTCCATGCATTATTTTATTTAATTCTTTTATCTGTGCCTCTTTCCTGCACAGGGCACTTGCTTTGGTCACAATTTTGTTGAGCTCACAAGCTAACCCTAGCCAAAATGAGTAAAAAGCAAATGTCACTGGACAGCTTCTTTGAAAGGAGGGAAATTCACAGGGAAATGGAAAGGATCTGAAAAGTCAAAAAATTTTGAAAAAAAAAAGAAAAGAGCTAGGTGTGGTGGTGCATGACTGTAAACTCAGCATTTGGGAAGCTGAGGCAGGAGATTGGGCGGAGGCCAGCCTGGACCATATAGTGAGTTCAAGGCTAGCCTGAACTACATAGCGAGACCCTGTTTCAAAAAAGAAGAAGAGGAAAAAGTCTGAGGATTTGCATTACCTTATTTGGAGACATATATAATATATACTGTATCTCAATATCTCAATATAAAACTATACTAGTGTAGAGGAAATGGTATTGGTGTAAGGACAAAAATCAATGGAACAGAAAATGCAGTCCAAAAATAGAGCCACATATGAATAGTCCCTAGCCAAGATACTAAAGTAATTTAATAGGGAAAAGGAAATTTTTGCAAAACATGCTAGAACTATGTATTCTTTTTTTTTTTTAAGTTCTTTCATTGGTACATTTTAGGTATACAATTCATTTACATTTATCATTGGGTGTTTGTACCTGTGCATGATGTATCTTGGTTCTTATTTTTTCCCCATTACCTGTGCTCCCTTCACCCCCTCCACCCTTCCCTATTTACATAGACATCATTTCCATTTTTTTTCTATTCTCATAGTTTTTCCTTTCCCTCCTTTCCTTTCCCTTTCCCCTTCCCCTCCCTTCACCCCTTCATCTTTGGACCTTTTTTCCTATTTCAGATAATCAATTATTCATTTTTATCATTTTAACCATTGTTTACAGTATCAGTTTCTCACACTAGAGAAACTATTCCGTATTTACACATGTGTGTTCTATTTATTTTACTTAAGAGTATGGCCTCGATATGCATCCATTTAGCTATAAAGGACTCTAGTTTTTCATTCTTTATGGCTGAGTAGTACTCCATTTTATAAAAAAACCACATCTTCTTTATCAAGTTTCCAATTGATGGACACTTGGGCTGTTTCCAAGCTTTAGCTATTACAAGCTGTGCCACTGTAAACATGGGTGTGCATATATCTGTGTGGTACGATTCTTTTAATTCTTTGTGGAAAATACCCAGCAGGGGAATAGCTGGGTCAAATGGGACCTCTAGTCCTAGTTCTTTGAGGTATCTCCACACTGATTTCCACAGTGGTTGCACCACTCTACACGCCCACTAGCAATAGAGAGGGTTCCTTTTTCCCCACAC